AAAAGAATAAACATTCCAAAATACTCATATAATGTTGCGATGTCAACTTGTGTAAGCACTAATATCTTTTTTATTTGTGTTCACTGAATACAAATCTTAATATAATTAATAAGGTTATAAATGTCTTTTAAGGCTAGAACTAGAAAAACTAGAAGATTTTCTGTGTGTTTTTAGGTTTTGCATGAACCAATAACAAGGAGGTTTTCTTTGCAATTATGATTTAGAAAAGGCTTACGTCATTAAAACAGAAGGGAATAAAAGTGAAATAAAAGTAACATGATATGTGAAATTTTAATGATATGTGATTTAATCATATATATAAAAGTAAAAAGTACTTTTATATCTATGAATTCACATTTATTTATTTTCTTTGTAAATATTTTTGAATCGATTCACGTTCAACGTTACACCATGAAGTTCTAACATGAGTTTAACTTCCACATGTAGCCAAGACAATAGACCCTTTTGATACGTGCGAACGTGCGTTGATTTTATCCACTGTTTTTGCATAGATAGGGTACAGAAGTATTTTCTTTGTTTTAGCTATTGCTCACAGGCATGCTTAGAATTTGAAATGTTACACATATGTGTTTTATTTTAATATCTTTTAACAATTTAACTATACAACAGCTGTATTCTTGTACTATTTGCATATTTTTGAACAAAATTGTCATAGCATTCATTTAAATCTTTTTCTTTTCTTCATATTGATGTTATAATTAGCCAAGGACGTGGCTAGATCTTTATATGCTGTATATAGTGATACAAAGTTTCCGAATTAAATGGGTTTAATATTATCCGAAAGAGGGACTTCTAAGGAATTTTCTAATAAAAAGAAATTTCTTAGAAGTGGGCGATATTATTACTTATTACCATGGCTTTGTTTTCCACTGCGACCCTCTATTTAAAATATTGCTCATAAAAAAGAAAAATTGTATCAAGAATCAGCTCTTATTCCCGTAACTTTACACAAATATGATAAATTTTCTTGTAAATACTATGACAAATTAGAAAAGTCAAAAATTAATAAACACCATATGTTACTAAATAGAGATATTAAAAGAGACAAAAAGAGCGCATGAAGCGAAATTTTAATAACCTAAGATGTTATGAAATAGTTTCAAGGGCTAGATAATATAGTAATTCTGGTCGGTGCGCAAACGATTGGATGCAATCTCTGTGAAGATGAAGTTTCGCTGGTACCAACGGACTCCAGTGGCTTTTCGAAATACAGTCCACTTGGCACCGCTAAAGGGACTGCAGCACCGCCCAAATTTCGACGGAATCAAAGTCTTTCTCATAGTACACATACGCCAGACATAGTGGCAAATTGTACTCCTCTGACTTTTGTACAATTTGCCGAAGGGTATGTATGTGGTCTATGGTGCTAAAACCTTTTCGGAAACCGGCTTGTTCGGGAGGCTGGAAGTCGTCAAGTTTGCGCGCGAAACGATTCGTAATGACTCTCGAAAACAGCACGTAGACGCGGCTCAGAAGGGAAATCGGTCTGTAGTTCTTCAAGAGAGCGTTGTCGCCTTTCTTGAAGAACAAGACCACCGCACTTCTACTCCATGCCTCCGGTGTAATACCACCATGGAGGACGGAATTAAAGAGCTTCTGAAGGACTTCAAGTACCGGTTTTCCACCCGCTTTCAGAAGCTCCTCTTCTTCTGCTGACTCCTAATCAGGAGACGTAACATCTGTACCAGAATATTTAAGACACTCATAATATACGCTGTTGTTCTGTTTTATTTAAATCTCTATTTTACGAGCTACCAATAAAATAGTTAATTAAGTAACAAAAATTCGTAAAAAGAGCACATTAACCAAAATAATTACACCAAAAATGTCGCAAAATTGTTACATTGAATACGGGGATGTGTCATATTACGAGTACCTCTTTCAGCTTTATGCACACGTAGAGCTGAGAGCGTTGTCGCCGTCCAACTAATTAATTGTCAAAAATGCTAAGAGCAGTAAATAAAAACCCGCTAATGAGAAGAGCGCTATCGTAGCAAGTAGTCACAAGAATATAAGAAAATTAAAACATGTCGTGCCATTGTGTCTCAGCCCTCATGACGGCTGGTTAACAAATAATATTTAAATATTCTACAACATTTTAACCCAGACGTTCGAAATATCCTGAAAGAGTTACTCTTACACACTGTGAATAAATCACATTGTGTTTTATTGTAATTATTCACAAAGCATAATATAGGGAAGAATTAGTGTAATCTAATTATAACGTAATACAATATTTTATATTAAAATTGTAAAATTGACGATTTTAACGTCAAGTTAAATCACTTTACAGTCATCTATATATTATGTACCTACATCATGAATTTAGCTCACAATCGATAGAATAAACAGAAACAAGGATATTGAATTTAGGTAAATATATACGGTTACAAAACTATTTGCGGTTATTCAAAGACAAGCAGTACTTTAATTACTGCTGGTTGATGGATCTGTAACTGAAACTTGTATATATAGAAACGAGTAAATCTTATGTTAGATTTCAATTTAATCTTTATTGTGTGAAGAACTTGATCAAGGAAATTAGACAATAGTACATGGATTTCGGCGTACAAAAATTTAAAATATGAAAGACAAGCAATAATATAATAGTCATATATATACAAATGGAAATACTCACGTTCGTGTTTTGTAGCATATCTTAGTGGAGGCTTATATTCAGCACAGTTTACTTGCGAGGGCCCGTAATAAGGATGATGATGGAAATAACATAAGAAATAAGAAAAAAGATATTATAATTTGTTTCGTTGTTGATTCTTTACTTTAACTTTTTATTTGAGAACAGCGGTCATGGGGCCAATATTAAGTTTGTACAAATACAAAGGATGTATTTAAGGTAAGATTAATGAAATTAGCTTTACTGTAGCAGATATGATATTACTCCACACAAATTAGAATTTACCACTATAGTAAAATCATCTGTAGTTTTAGTTTGTGACAACTTACAAATTATAAGATTATTTTCGAATAGTCTTTTGCTGGGAACTATAAACATCGTATATGAAAATATAAATTACTTAAGTGTCTTGCTTAAGACATACATTTATTAATTTCTTGTCCTTTGGATGCACTCTCAAATACCAAAGCCGCTATTCTTTGATATTCGACGCTACTCAATTTTTTGTTTGCTTTACGCTTATAAATGTATGGATTATTTAACAAAGAGGGAATAGTTGTCTGACATAAAATAAAAAGAAAACACTTTAGATTTAGAATTATAAAAGTAAAGCATAATAATTTTTCCTTTTTTACGCATTTTTTTTAATAAATACCCAGCAACTTAGAGTATCGCTGGAGGACCTAAGCACTATGCTCAATGACCTCGATAGTGTTTCCCAACGGATAGGTCTTAAGATGAACATGGACAAAACAAAGATCATGTTCAATGTCCATGTCACACCTATGCCGGTAGTTGTTGGGAGCACTAAGCTCGAAGTTGTTGACGAGTATGTTTACCTGGGACAAATAGTCCGACTAGGTAAGTCCAACTTCGACCGAGAGGTCAATCGACGGATTCAACTCGGCTGGGCAGCGTTCGGGAAGCTACGACACATCTTCTCGTCAGACATTCCTCAAAACCTGAAAACGAAATTGTACAACCAGTGCGTGTTGCCAGTGATGACTTATGGAACTGAGACGTGGTCCTTCACTGCTGGCCGTATGAGGAAGCTCAAGGTCGCTCAGCGAGCTATGGAGAGGGCTATGCTCGGAGTTTCTCTGCGTGATAAACTTAGGGATGAGGATATCCGCAGTAGAACCAGAGTAACCGACATAGCCCAACGGATTAGTAAGCTGAAGTGGCAGTGGGCCGGCCATATAGCTCGAAGAACCGACAACCGATGGGGAAGAAAGGTTCTCGAGTGGCAGCCTCGTACCGGTAGGCGAAGTGTAGGGCGTCCCCCCACGAGATGGAGTGACGACCTGGTAAGACATGCAGGAAGTCGATGGATGCAGGTGGCTCAGGACCGTGCTTTGTGGCATTCTTTGGGGGAGGCCTATGTTCAGCAGTGGACTTGTGAAGGGCTGTAATGATGATGATGATGATTAACTTATAGTAATACAATAATAATAAAACACATAGAGTGATAGTGACATTCAAAATTCCGTTCAAAGTTGAAGCAACAACACAATGAATGTGTGCATAAGCGGCCTGTAATTACGTTTGCCCACACGCACATAAGCAAATGAGTAGTGTTTGTAAGTTAATGACATTTTCCCCCAAAAGTAGGGAAAATGTAATAGTAGACATAGTCATAGAATTAATATTTAGGTTGCGTTTATAATTATTTATTAACTATTTGCAAAGAGAAAAATGCAACATTATTTATTTTTGTTAACTTGTGTAATATTTAAATTATTTATATACATAATATCTTGTGTTATGTTCATAAGTCTATTATGTAATTATATTATTCTGTTAGAAGTGGTATATTTATATAAATATGTGTTATTTATCTTCCATAAAATCTTATACTATTTGTAAATATAAATTTTATATAATACTGAATGGCCTTATTCTATGATATATAGAGAAGTGGAAAAAATGGAAAAGTTTCTTTTTTGTAAAATTGATGTGACAAGCGAACCAATAGTATACCTTATGGTAAGTGCTGTAGCTCATGGATACCTGTAATCAACTCTAAACCAGCAAAGCAATACAATCTCAAAACTAAGGACTAAGATGAAACGCCTCTCAGCCTCTGGTTCTCTATAACCAACAGAGCTGTACACAGCAGTGCACGCACTAATATTTGGCAGCAGAAATAGGAAAGAAAGCACTACCTGCCCAGGCGGTCTACTCTCTGATCTAGGCAAAAAAGGAGTCCTACATTTTTTTATAGGATAAGGGTGTCAAACGAGCACACAGTCCACCTGATTGTAAGTGGTTGCTACCAGAGACTATACCATACTATATATACTATATATACCAGAGAATGACATGTATGGCTGCCACAGACTGCATGAGAACTACACCAACAGCAGCCTCAGAAGCGATGATGGAGCTAACCCCGCTTCATCCACATATACAACTAGAAGCGACTTTAGCTGCCATCAGACTCAAGACACTAAATCTTTGGAGTAAGAATAGTGTCCCTCATACAGGCATAATTGATAGAATTCACTCAAAATTTCCTGTACTACAAGCCAAGTACGATAAGATTCCTAAACAATTTGTTTTCGATAAGAAGTACAAGATACAACTAAATGAAACCGGCCAGCCGGAAGGATTAAGCCCAAAAGAGCTTAGAGTTTTCACCGATGGTTCTAAAACAAATGAAGGTGTAGGTTCTGGAACTTTCTCTGAAGACCTCAATATCCTCATATGCACACCGCTGGGTACCTATAAAACAGTCTTTCAGGCGGAATGTATTTCAAGCAATTCAAGCGGCCATAGTAATAGATGCCTTAACCTTCCTAAGGTTAATGACTTCCCCATCAGAATACTGACCGACAGTAGGACCGTACTACAAGCTCTGAGTTGAAATGTGGTGAACTCAGGACTAATATATGAATGCCATCAACGATTAAATGAGGTATGTAAAAACAACAATGTGATTCTCTAATGGATAAAGGGACACAGTGGATCCAAAAGCAATGATGCCAGAAGAGGATCGGCTCTGGCCACTATAGGGCCGGAGCCTATCATACCAAACCTCTTTGGTAACGTTCGTTCACTGGTACGTACACACTTCACTAATCAACACGCTCAGCTTTGGAAAAATCTAGTAGACTGCAGAAAAGCTAGGTAAATAGTCGCTTAACCAAAGTAATAATGAGACTGAACAAGCCGCAGATCAGGATAGTAACAAGTGCTACCACATGACACGGCACCTTTAACAAACATTTATTTACTATAGGTGTTACAGATAGTCCCCTGTGCAGGGCATGTATGGGGAAGGAAGAAACGGTGGCCCACGTGCTACTGTAATGTCCGGAGGTCGCTACGTACAGGGCTAAACATTTTGGCACGCCGCGCCGGGATCACTGATCGAATTTGCATGCAACATCATAGACTGTTGAGCTTCTTCGTGGAGATCTCATGGCATCACATTATTCCTGCCCACAGGCAAAATACGCGCATAGACGTGGAATTGCCGAAAACATTCCGTCGTAAACTTAACTAAACTAAACTAAGTGGTTGCTATGGCCCATATACAACTACATCTATCCTCGATTACGTATTAAACTGCACATGCGTTGTCACCCGTGAGGACTAAGATGGAATGCCTCGCTTCCAGTAAAAAGGGTCTCCGATTGTCTACACTCACCATACGAAACACAGCAGCGTTAAGCTGCTATTTTACGCTGGTATTCTATGAGAGCATAGTCCTTTCCCGGTCGAGCCGACCCATTCGTGCTACAACCATAATATAGCTGCAACATGGCTCTACCACGAATAAAAAGTATATTAGTTATTTATTATTTCCCCGCTTTATATCATCGAATGAATCCCGTTTTTTACTTAAAAGTTTTGAAAATCCTGCTTTGGCAGAAAAAAAACATTGTCCAAGTAAGTAGAAAAATAAAATAAAAAACAGAGGCAGCCATAAGGACTGCGCAAAGAAGTAAAAACATGTATACATGAACACAGGAATACACTTACACTACATACTTCGAATCGCTAGTCTGGCTTGGGCTAATACATCACGAGCATGTCGAGGTTATCGGTGACGCAAACTCATAAGTTTTTCACCTAGCAAAAATCGCTCAACGCAGCTAAAGAACGATTAACGGCGACGGGTTTAGTGCGCGCGATTGAGGGAGGGTGGGAGGTCCCCTTATAACTGGGCAGGACACATAATTTTCTTTCTTCACGCGGAATTAAGCAAATTAGTTTATAACAACCCCATTATATATGCTTCTTATTAAATAGTTGCTCTTATATTTATTGAAGTAATTTACTAGCATTTAAATACATGACTTGGATTTCAAATTTTAAAATAATTGGTTGAATTCCCAAACTTAAAAGAACTGGACGTAGTGGGTCCCCCTGTTGGAAAATGTTGAAATGTGCTGCTGAGCACCAACAGTAGATTCAAAAATATAGTTCTCCTAAAAGAATTTCGAATTTTGACTGTAACATTTCCATACGTCAAACTTCTTTCAGCAGGTTACCCTAACGATAAAGTTAAAAGCATTCCTAAGGTCAAGCTTCAAAAAACATCTGCATTAGAATTTGTTAAAAAAGTACTTTTAACTGATGCACCTTTAGTGTCAAATCCTAGTTAAGTAGGCTGAATTTTTTTCTTAACCCTCTCATTGGTATAGACGAAAGACATTTAAGTAGTAGTAGTAATAGACCGGACATCAGAAGCAAAATTGTCGTCTGTAACTTATGTCCTATAGGATATATCTCCGATTTTTGTCATTTAGTCTTAGTGACATCGTCAAATAGTCAAGACGCATTCGTTTCTTGTACTTAAAAAATATTTTTAAAGAAAATATGCCTTATTTTCTTTAAGCGCTTATTACATTATCCAATTTTTAGAAAATCGAATTAGGAACCTAAGTTGGAAGCTAGTGATCACATTAGACTAAATTGAATTCTAAATCGTGACGAAGCACATTCGTAAAAGAAGTATCGACGGGGTTGCACGTTTGATCGATGGCGCCGTATTTATCAAAACAGCAGAAAATAGGACTTGCCTTAGCCGTGGTGGGAACAATGATAAAATTTATATTAATATTAAAAATAGATAAAAGAGAATATGCTGGGTTAAGGAATACTTGTCATTGTATTTGTAAATATTTAACAACACCTTGAAGCCCTCTTCACGCATTGCTTTTTTTAAATAGTTTTCATCATTTTTATTATACAAATAGGGCATTTACCCTATACAGGTCTATAATTTGTAATAACACCTCTTTTTCTGTGGACATGCTGCCACACGAATCACTGCTCAGTTCTGTCGCTTCACTCGCCATCGCAAAAAAATGTCGCACGCGCAGTCAAGACACCCACTTAGGTCGAAGCGCGGGCGCCGACTGGTCGTTCTAAATCGTAACGTTGCGATTACACTGTCCTAAATTGTAGACAATTTAGAAAGTAGAGCGGTCGGGACCTCCAACTTTAACTAAATCGGATCCTAACTGTTCTAACTATGATTACACTTTCCAATTTCCTAATTAGATTTCCTAAAAATTGGATAATGTAATAAGCGCTTTAAAAATATATTTTGTTGTACATTAACGTATTGTAAGTCACGATATGGAGCAAAAAATTAACGTGATTTCGGTTTATTATCGTAAATATAACATATATTTACCGAATAATCGTTATATTTTATTATTGCTAATAGATTGTTCTAGAACATTTATTTTTATTGTAATAAGCGCCCTCTGTTATCCAATAAGCGTCACTATTTAGTTACCAATTTTAAAGTTAGTGATTGACGTTGTTTATTGATTGGGATTATCGATAAAAATATACAGGATGCCGATTTAATCCTTTACAATGTTTAAGGAGGTAAAACAGTCAACGATACTGAACCCATATAAAAAAAAATGAGTACATATACCAACTATGCTAAGTACCCTACTTTATGTCGAGCAAGGGTATGTAATTGTTTTAGGCGTGCTGATGAGATTTTCTGTGTAGCTTATGAGCATGCTCAGGATTTATTACGTGGTAGAGCCATGCTGCAGCTATATTAGTAGCATATTTGTAGCACGAATGGGTCGGCTCGACCGGGGAAGGACCACACTCTCACAGAAAACCAGCGTAAAATAGCACTTTAACGCTGCTGTGTTTCGTATGGTGAGTGTAGAGACCTGGAGACCCTTTTTACTGTCAAAGAGGCATTCCATCTTAGTCCTCACGGGTGACAACGCATCTGCATCTTGAGTCTTTATTGATGATTGATGTAGTAGTCACAGTAACCACTTACCATCAGGTGGACTGTGTGCTCGTTTGTCACCCTATCCTATCCTGCTGTGTTGATGTTTAGCAATACAGCATGTCTTCTCTTTAACATATCATGCTTCATTGTCTGGTGGTTTTAAAGGACAAATCCATTATAGATCCTGACTTACAGTGATAGAAGAGGGCAATAAGTTTGTTACATTAAAAACAATTTTTACTGTTAAAGATATTAGATGCAAGAAGTTGTAGGTTAAACCTGAGTTAAAAAATAAGGTAAAAACTTAAAATAACAATTTTTATTGATGTGGGTAGTGTCTTTAAGTACTGCAGCTGATGAAACGTGAAAAGTCGTGAAACGGCTTTTAAGTTCAGTGTTTTCCTAAAATATTTTAGATTTGAAGTGTATTTTTGTAATAGAAACGAATTTAAAAACATGGAGGCGCTCTCTTATTGGATTTGGCGTTTCTTAATGTTTCTTTAACGCCGAGCGATCAATCATATGCTATTATTATAGCAGCTAATGGACCGAGTGACGTCATGCCACCAAGGTGGCAACCAAAGTCACTGCTGTTTGAATTTTTATTTTTCTTCTTATTTATTGGAAATTAAATATTTTATTTCATGACACTAAAGGGGCGTAAAAAGTTAATATGATTTTTGTTCGTGAGATGGAAGTCATGATAAATAGATTTATGGAATAAAACAATCAAGTATATTCCCTGTACTGCCTTGCCTTCCTAACTTTTCTATCAGATCCTTCCTTCCAATTATATGTAAAACAAAACTTATGGCGCCATCTGTTGGCCTACAACAAAAGCGTCTGCAAAAGAAGTCGACGCGATCGATACCCAGATGTAATCAAGACTCAAGACGAACTGCATCGGTAATGGCTGTTCTTGTCTAAACCTTCCAATACAAAATCAATGTAATTAAGCATTAGTGAGTTTTCCGGGTCGACCCAGCTGTGTGCATAGACTATATAATCACGTAGGAGTGTGGTCAAGTAAGACTGAAGCCTTCCACATCCGAAGATATTGTTGAAGCCAAGTTGAAGTTGACCGCCGCTGCCGCTAACTGTGAGTTTACCTATTTCATTTAACCTTTCTGGTGGGCCAGACTAATTTTCTCTCACTGTAGGTAAATTAAGTAGCAATTCCAAATCAAATTCTCTTTATTTTTATTTCAATTAGTAGTGTCGCGATTACTACAAAAACGGAGTTCAATCCGCGCAATTTCTATTCCAACTGTTAACATTAGTGGTCCGTACGAGCGCGAATTTCCTATGGTATTCTGGGTTCAATTCGTTCGAAAACTCCAAAATTACAGTTCATAGCAATTCTTTTAGATTAAAAAAAAATTTCAAGTAAAACTTGGTAAGGTACTTATTTCGTTGCCTTAATTTTAACGATATAATATGAAGTAATTTATTAAATTTATTTGATACCTATATAATTTTGTAATTAGGAAATATTATTCTCTGTTGATTACATGAATTAGATACAAATACACGTTTTGTGCCGTTCGTAGTACCTAAACACGGAGGTAGTAGGTGAATAATTATACTCCACATATTCAATACTGATCGTTGTTTCAATAGGTGTAGTATAATATATCTATTAA